TTATCTGTCCTCAGGTCTACACTTAGAACAGTAATATCTGTTTTACAAGCTGGTTCTCCTGACCTGAGTTCTGTGGGGTTAAATGGGACGACGCTGTCTCCATAATCACTCATCCTATTGGCAGACTTGGTTTTAGATGTAAACAAGTCCCATGATACTCAGATGATTACATCCTGTGGAGACAGCAAGGAGATTATTTTGATGACCTCTGATTAATATGTCAAGAATGTCTTTTCGATTATGCAATATTTTACATATTGTTCAACTAAGCGATATTCCACATCTTGCCCAATGTGTACATTTAATATTATGTCCAGGTCTACATTGTGTAAGATGCAATGTTGCTTAAAATAAAAAAAAGTTAAAATACAAAGATCAGATTAAAAAAAAAATCTAAATAATTTTAAAACAGCAGAACAATTTAAATCAAAGGGTTTGTTCAATCATTTTTAAATATTGCAAGGAACCCCTTCCTTAAATTTAAAGGCGGCTAGCTCACATATTTTCATTTTGATATTACAAAAGACTTTCTTCCCCTTTCTTTCCATCTTTCTCCAAAACAATATAATTTTAATCCTATCTACCACTGCACTAAAATAAACATGATTAAAATACAACCTGGAAAATGTATTTTGTGTTATCAGCGTTTATTTTGCGTTAATTTTTTTTTTTTTAAGTTGCTTATGCCCCTCTATTTAAGTCACTTCATATAAAAGCATTTGCTAAATGCATAAATATAAATGTAAATGTAATTTTGTACAGAAAATTTATATTTTCTTCTACCCAATATTAAAAATATCAGAGAAAACATTTCAGGTCAATATCAAAAATAACAAATTATATAAATATTGTCCCGAAGCAGCTTTACTTGGAATACTACATTACAACACAAGAAAGATAGCACACATCTTGTAAAATCTTTATAATTGATTCGAACTTGTCCTTCGACCCCCCTAGCGCAATTCGGTTTGTAAAAATGGGTTACATTTTTGAATTCTCCGTTTGATAAATGGCTTAAATAATAAATGTTTAAGTAATATTCAACTAAAACACAAACCTGGTGTTAACAGCTAAAAGGTGATAATAAGAGGAAGAATGCTTTGCAGAAACACAAACAATTAGTTGCAGTAAGGCTGTATTAAACCATCAACGGATTAATAATACATTAAACAGCTAACAGAATGTCTATTTAGCAAAATGCATCGATGTATTAAACAGGCGTCTTTAACAATATTATCAACAACAATCAATAGGCTACAACTAGCAACATTACCGTACAAACAGAAAAAATAAAAACACAACTATTATTAAAAAATAAGCTCCGATCAAACGTGAACTAAGACTGAAATTCAGCTAACGTTACTACTCTGCTGAGTGATTCCAGCTGACTGAGATCTCTGTCCCTCAAAGCGATGTTAAATTCACTGTCACACGACGGCCACACATCTGTTAGCTACCGCTACACTCAAAATGTAGCGTTCTTCCCTTCGCAAAGTATAAATATGCATATGTGAGAAGTATAAAATGACATATTTTGAGGGTGAAGCAGCTCTCCTTTACCTCCAGCTCGCTGAAGAAGCAAACTTACTTGACTTCCTTAGCAACGTCAGGCAGCCAGCCAACAACTCCACAAGAGGGTGTGCTGCTGACAGTCAGCAGTAGTGCATTAAGAAACAGCGCCCTCTTGCGTTTGTATTATTTCCACAAACAAGTGGTCAGTTTACAAAACTATCGACATACTATTCAGTACTGTGGAAACCAAGTGTAATGTTTAAAAAATCGGTCACTGAAAATCCTATTCTGATTATTGTGAAAGACTGTGTGTGTGTGTGTGTACTGGTTTATATATTCTGGTGGGGACTTAAACCTGACTACACACAGACTCATGGGGACTCGTGTCACGGCGGGGACCTAAATTGAGGTCCCCACGGGTACAACAGCTTATAAATCGCACAGAATGGAGTTTTTTGAAAATCTAAAAATGCAGAAAGTTTCCTGTAAGGGGTAGGTTTAGGGGTAGGGTTGGTGTAGGGCAATAGAATATACGGTCTGTACAGTATAAAAACCATTACGCCTATGGAGAGTCCCCACAACGATAGCTGACCAGACGTGTGTGTGTGTGTGTGTGTGTGTGTGTGTGCGAATATAGAAGTAGGCCTAAATGTTCTGATTATTAAACTGACCTACACTAATATATTTATATTTTAGATCAGTGGATTATTATTATTACTCCCATTTTTTTCATTACATGGGAAGTTCGAATGACTGAATGGATAATAAAGTAAAGCATATAAACACTTTTAACTGCCCATTTATAGCTGTTTTAATGCAGTAAATTGTATTTTGAGTGAACTCCGAAAAACAGAATGCAATTAGGCCTACAGCATTCAGTTCAGATTAACTTCGCTTAACTGCATACATAATTATTGGATTATGTTTCTAATGTGTGTGTGTGCATGATTTTTTTCAGCTAATTTGTGAAATGTAATAAATTAATTGTAAGCTTTTCTGCAGTAATGAGCACTGTAAGTAATGCTCTACTGTTAGTTTGAAAAGTAATAAACCAGTTAGTTAATGTAGCCTACTGGAGAACTATATTTAGCTGTTTTTGCTATAAAAATTGTATTAAAGACAGCAAAACTCTGAGTTTTGACTTAAAAAGATCACCCTTAACTGCATACATAATTATTGGATTATGTTTCTAATGTGTGTGTGTGTGTGTGATTTTTTTCAGCTAATTTGTGAAATGTAATAAATTAATTGTAAGCTTTTCTGTAGTAATGAGCACTGTAAGTAATGCTCTACTGTTAGTTTGAAAAGTAATAAACCAGTTAGTTAATGTAGCCTACTGGAGAACAATATTTTGCTGTTTTTGCTATAAAAATTGTATTAAAGACAGCAAAACTCTGAGTTTTGACTTAAAAAGATCACATTATTTTAAGGTTGAATTCATCATGCAGGTCTTGTAAGTTTGAAAGTTTACACAAATGTAAGAATATATAGGCCTATATATATATATATATATTATTATTAAATTGTTTATTGCAATTAAGAAGCAGCACTGAACTGAAATATATGAATCCATATAGAATTGACTTACTGACTGTGGAAGAACTGGACTGGCGTGCAAAAAAGCCCGGCCCTGAACCACACTGCACTTTGGGATGAAGTGGAAGGGCGAGCCATACCCCATCATTCAATGGCAAATCATGACCCCTGCGATGCTCTTATGTCTGGATGGGAGCAGATCCCTGCATCCATGATCCAGTAGCTCATTAAACTATTGCCACATTTGGGTTTGGTGTTTGAAAGCCACAGACCACATACTTTTAGCCATGCATGAAATGAATCTTAGTCAAAAGGATTTAATTAGTTCAAATAATTACAAAATAGGTATCACTTAAAACTTTTGCTGTAAACATATACATGGATGATCAGGGCTAGTAGTCATATGGGAAAGTTTACACAAGTGTAAGAATATATATATAGTACATATATATACATATATATATATATATATATATATATATTTTTTTTTTACATTTGTGTAAACTTTCCCATATGACTACAAGCCCTGGTCATATATATTACTTTTAAGTATATCTCCATCAAAATATTGCAAGGATAGGCCAAATATACCTTTTTTATGTAGTAAATGTAGACTGAAAATATACTCTCTTACATATCTCTTGTTTAGCTTAAAATATGTATACTAATTGAACACTTGAAGAAACAACATTTTTTAAGCATTGTTTTGTTTCATAATTGCTTTCTTGCTTAGGCCTACATCTTGCTAGAGAGTCTACAAAAGGCTGGGTTTTCTGTGAACTGCATAATTATTTTTCTCTGCCACAGGTGAATGAACTGAATATCACTGACACCATTACAGCACATTCGATTTTTGATAGCAAAAGGACACCAAAATGTCAGAAAAAATAAAAAAATAAAAAAATCACAGATTTGGAAAAAGGATCACCCCCTCCTAAAAATGAGTTGTAAACTCAATCAGGTGTAGCTAATCACCTTCTCAATGGCACACAAAGTCATTTGACTTTCAATTGTGAGCAGCTGTGGTCATTTTGATTAGCTCAGCATGTAAAGAGCTTCCTGGAGCATTTCAGTCCTTGGTAGTGCAACTGAAACAAACAATCAACTATGGGTGGCAAGGCACTGTCAAAAGATCTCTGGGATAAAGTTGTGGACAGGCACAAGTCAGGAGATGGATACAAATATAAAAAAATTCAAAGGCTTTATCAATGCCTAGAAGCACAGTAAAGTCTATTATTAAGACGTGGAAGGTATTTGGTACAACACAGACCCTCCCTGAATCAGGACTTCACTCCAAACTGGATGAAAGAGCCAGGAGGAAACTGCTCAGAGAGGCCTACAACAACTCTGAAGCAGTTGCAGGAATTTATGAAAAAGAGTGATCCTTGTGTGCATGTTACAACAATATCACAAATTCTCCACAAATGTGGCTTGTATGGGAGGGTTGCAAGAAAAAGGCCACTTCTCAAGAAAGGCCACATGCAGTCACGACTGAGCTTTGCCAAAACGCAATTTGAAGATTCTGAGGCAGATGAGTCTAAAATTGAATTATTTGGCCTCCGCACCAAACGATACTGTATATCTGACGGAAATCCAATACAGCTCACCATCCAAATAACACCATTCCTACAGTAAAGCATGGAGGTGGTAATATCCTGTTATAGGGGTGTTTCTCTGCAGCAGGGACTGGAGCACTTATCAGGATAGAAGGAAAAATGGACCGGGCAAAATACAGTAAAATTCTTGAGGAAAATCTGCTGCCCTCTGCCAGAAAGTTGTCAATGGGAAGAGGTTTATCTTCCAACATAATTACCCAAAGCACACAGCAAAACTGAGCACACAGTGGTTGAGAAGGAGAAAAAGGTTAATGTCCTTGCATGGCCTAGTCAGAGCCCAGACTTAAACCCCATTGAAAATCTGTGGAGTGACTTGAAGACTGCAGTCTACAAAACGGTCACCATCAAATTCCAAAAGTTTGTTTTGTGACTTGTAACGAGGAGTAATTTTCACTGTAAGGTATCTGTACTTTTACTCAAGTATGGTTTTTAGGTACTCTTTACACCTCTGGTATGGCTGTGCTCACAATGTTAGCTGAACGTTTGGGAGCACCGGATGGCTGGAGATCTGACCGACAGGTATCAGGGGAGGTCATTGTAACACATCTTCAAGATATCCAGTGGTTCTTCTTCGACCCAAGTTGCTCATGAATGTCAATGGCGTGACTGTGGCAAAAGCAGGTGAGACGCATTGCATCGTGCTATAATAACACTATTACTTTTCCACCTGCCTCATTTTAATCCTCGGATATCTGAATTTATTTTTTTTTAAATAAAAGAAGTTTTCCAGCTAGCAAATATTTAATTTCACCCCAACATATTCTTTTGATTCACGATGAGCTTGACAAACCACTTGGGAAGTTTGGCATTAAACATGGTGTAAGTGTAAACTTTTCATCAGATTTTTGAATTGATAACTTTTCTTTTCTCCTAATATGTAGGCTGTGTTGAGTTCATGGTGATTGATCCATATTTTCTTCATCTCAGGGGTCACAATGGCGTAAGATCATGTGTAGACCGCCTTCACACTGATGTAAGTTAGCAAATATCTTATAGAGCATCACTACATCAGCTGTAGTGGTTTGTTGTAGAAATTCATTATAACAACACATGTTGATTGTTCCCGCAGGTGATGCCACGGCTGCGTGTTGGTATTGGGCGACCATTGGATAAAACACCTGTCGACCATTATGTTTTGGGATGTTTTTCACAAGAGGAACAAAAATGTTTTAGACACTGTCATGAAGCAGAGTGTAGATGTACTATTGACATATATCACAGACTCTCAACCCCAGACTTCACCAGCAGAGGGAAGAAGCAAAAATAAAGCCAGGACACTTTCACCGCCTCAGGACACCACAGAAGAGCAGAAACAGAGCTGACCTTCTGTTACTACACATGAGATGTTTGATTACTGTATTTCTTTTGTGAAGGAGTTGAGTTTTATGATGCCATGTTTAGGTCCCAAGAAGAGGGAAGGACATTGTCATGAGGGACAAAACCAAAACTGACATCAACGCATAATAATGTTTGATAATTCTGTACTAAATGAGTTGAGCTTTGTTAGGTCTGTGCTATATTTTAAAGTTTAGTATATTGGGAGGCAGCTGCCTGCGTTACATGCTGTATTGTAGTATCTATAACAGGTTTTCCTAAATTTGGGTGCAAACTCCTGGAGGAACTGCAGAAGTTTCATTCAATTGTAATAGAAATGCAAATGCTTTAAGTAAAAATGAATGAATCATTAAAATATAATAACCATAAGAAAATAAACAACAGAAATATTTGGCAAGTGAACAGAAGAACTCAATAAATTTTGAAAGGTTATATTACCTCAAATATCAGTGTGTTTCATGTAAATAGGTGTCAATATGACCAAACAGTTTGGAAAGCCCTGGTTTAAAACCTGGACAACACTGACCTCATTATGATCCTCATAGTGTCATTTCACATGACTGGGTGTTTTTAAATTCATTTATTTCATTATATTGTGGTATTTCCCCATTATGTTCAGCCAGAGGCTTCCAAACATTTCTGATATTCAGAGAACTGTTTATTCAGAAATGTATGCTTAAATATTTAATATACGAGAATGCACTAAAAATGTGTAGTTTAATCCATTTTTTTGTTCCTTTTATAAGTCACTATGGACCAAAGTGTCTGCTAAATACAGAAATGTAAATGTATTTTAAGAACGTTTTAAAGAACCATAAAACGAATTATGTAGCTCGAGTTCTGCTGTCATCAAAGCAAAACAGGCAAAAATGTAAAATTAATTTTTTCAATTAAACTTTTCACTCAAATTATTGTGCACATAATTTGCTCTGAAAAATGCTGCATGAAATTCTAAATAAAAGCGTTTTGGACCCGATTACAGTGATACTATTATTATAAATACATAATTTCATAAGTTAATATAAATGTAATAAAGACTGTATTCACTTAAGTAGACATTTTATTGCATCCCAACAACATGAACAAACGTTTTGTAGTTCTGAAAAAATTACTTGTTTCGTTACTAAATTAACAAGTGCTGAATGAACACTCAACAAAACACATGATCAATGCAACTCAAATGCAACAACACACATACAATGCATAAGGAGTCTGTTTCATATCTTTCTGCCAGCATGTTATTAGGCTGTCTAGGCAAAACGTTTTATTATACGTAAAAAAACACCACAATTATGAACCCATTCATGTAATCAACACTATAGCTGATTAAAAAGAGAAAATGATCAAATAATATAATAATAATAATAATAATCTGTAATCTGAACCAGTGCTGTTTGGAGATTTCTGACAGATGTGGAGCATCCAAATCAAAGCTGCGCCATTTCCATCAATACTAAAAAAAAATACTTCAAAGACAATATCACTTGTGGCAGATTTTCAACATTCCAGCTACGCTGACAAATACGCTTTCCCTGAGCTATCCTTCACAATGGACCATTCCCAGCTGCTCTGAATGGTCAGGATTTCTTGGTCCACTCTCAGCTCCAACAATACTTAAGGTCAGAGGTTACTGGCACGGCTGGACACACAGCTCACACAAAAGTGCAAATGTATTCTGGGTAATGTTCTAAGCCTCCCAGGGGGGTCTTCCCTGTTTTACAAAAATATTTAAAGGAATACACAATGCCTAAACTAGATCTCAGTAACTAAAAGTCATTTTACACTGAGTATTTTCTTCAGTAGTTTTTATTTTGAATGTTTCAAACTCACAGTTCAGAGCCCTCTTAAATGCGATCATTTTTGTGAATTGTCTTTCAAACCTATGTTTGATCGTTTTTTGTTTTTTTTTTACAAATATTGCTATAAAATTATATAATTTATTAATCACGGTATTCGTTGGCCAAAAAGTGGTTTGATATTTTTTGTTACCTTTAATATTATATTGTTAAAATGAGTTTTGCCTCCTAATTGTTTGACTGTTTAAATAAATACCAATGTAAATGTTCAATAGATTTTTTTTTGTAGTCAAGATTTTGATATGTGGCTTTACAGAAACGAACTTTCAAAATGACACCTACCTTGAAAAATAGTCTCTATAAAAAGTGTGACAAATAAAGGTCAAAAATAAGTTTTAAATGACAAATAAAGTCACATGAATGAAAACACTTAGAAGTTGTTGTTTTTTAACGCAATTGATATTTGACTATACTTTAGTGTTTTCAGCCTGTAAAACCACTTTATGAAGTGTTATTGAACGATTCCTTTGTGGTAAAGTGCCAGGTGATCCCTTACACGAGTGGCTTTTGAAAGAAGGGAAACGACATTGAGGACACAATGCGTAATGGCACTATAGACACGGTTGGATTGTAATTGCAATCTGCAAAAAAAAAAAAAAAAAAAAAAATCCAAATAACTGTTTATTACATCTGACATTGCAAAGAAAAAAGTAAAGTTAAAAATATATATATTACATAAATGTGTCCTGATGTTATTGTATCTGTGTTGGTCTGACTGAGTAAATATTAGACAAGTAAAAAATAAATTAAATAAAAATGATCCTAGTAAAACAATTTCAAACTAGTCCTGTGGCAATAGAATGAAATGTCAGCGCTAAGAAATCAGATTATGAAGAGCAGCATGAACCACATCCTGTGTGTGTGACAGGAAGAGTGTGAAACCACCACAGGAAGAGCACGAGGTTGCTGGTCCCAGCGCAGCTGCTGGTCAGTACGCGGATTGACACAGTGGATACTCATCCCCTTCTCACCACAATGGCCATTTATCACTCACTGGTGCGTTATTCAAATCTCGTACCAAGCGGCCACCGACCCCACTCTCGCCTCGCCGTTTATTTAGAAAGCTGCGCAGTTGTCACGCGAGCCTCGCGCATCCTTGAGCCAGGAACGCTGCCAGTGTGTTTTGCTCCTCATTAACAACAGTCCTCCGGATGGGAGTGATGAAAGGCTATGTATAAATGAATTTCGACCCTCACTAACATGCATTGTGAGGGTCACGCGTATCGTGTCTTGAAGACGCAGAAGAACTTTATTTATTCTGCGCATTGAAGTTGGAGATTCGTACGTGGCACCGCGGAACGAGACCTCTGGAGGACTTTGACGCACATCAGGATGTTTCTCTCTCTTTGCTCGTTTTTAGCTCTTCCATGCTTGATCAGAAACGTCTCGCAGGTGCAGACATGGCGAATCGCTGCCTCGGTGTCTTCTGAAGAAAGTGTCTGTCTGGTGATGGTGCAGCACACCTCCGAATGATTCGCGACCACCTCGACAGAGCAGCACATTCCTCGATTATTTCCGAGGGAAATTTAGTGAATTAAAAAATGGTAATTTATTTATTACACCGGAACGAATTAATTGGTGATATTTTATGATTTATTTGGTTTATTTCCCCGGTAAGACCTGATTTTAATTTGCCGTTATTATTTTAATCACAGAAAAAACAGAGCTGTGGAAATATGCTATTGTTTTTGGTAAAAGAACATTCAGTCTTAAAGCAACATCCCAGGCTTAGACGGACAGTGGGATACTGAGCGTCAATTGTGTCCCGTGCTATTCTGACATTTCTCTAGATAACGAAAAAAAAAACGTGGACCGAAAAATATTATGATCTAATTTCACCGCCGAGGAATTGATGAAATACAGCCGATATTTCGAAAGACTGCACGCCTGAATTATGTGAAGAAAAAAAACAATGTGCATCAAGGCCTTTTCCCACTGAAGAGCAGAAACGCACGAGGAATCAAACGCATGGATCCTATACAGTAAAATATTCACACAGTTGTGCTGTTTATGGAAATATGAGCTCAAGCAGTTGATTGTCCAAACGCAATTCTTGTGAAATGTCAAGCGATCAGTCGAGAATTGTGCCTGGACATCTGTTGCTGGAGGCTCCCACGCGTCTCCAATCAGCATCACTATCAGTGGGGTTTATTAATAGGCTATTATTGTTTTTAAAATAACAAGCGCTGTTTAAAGGTGACGCTTTAAAATGCAATGTCGAAAAACCAGTTGATTTTAATAGGCATTCAATTCTAATCAATTCAAAAGATGTGTGTTGTGTTTTTCGTTATCATGCGGTAATGTGTTGAATTAACAATAGAAAATGGGTTAGCTTGAACGTTAGATTCATGACACGTAAAAACGGCATAAAATGATGCATATGATTAATTGTTTGTTTTACTATTACAGCTACGTTTGAATTTCACATCAGATTCATGTTTGTTAGGTTTGTTTTGATTGGAACTTTTACATAACATAGCTTAAATGTAACCTAAGATACTGTAAATTCAGCAATACATCACAAGATGTTTTTTTTTAAAGTAATATAATACATATTTGTCACAAAAATAGATTTTACCTCTATAATTATATGCATTTTTGTTTAGTAGAGCAGAACGAAAAATGTTTATCAAAGTAATGTGTCAATCAATTGAATTGTCGATTGAGTTTAATTAAATTTGTATTTGTGACTGTATTGTTTCTGGTAGACTCGTTTAAAATGAGTTTACAGGATTTTACGATTTTTTCAGATTTCTCAGTGTTTGAGGTGTCTGCTACAGACTTTAGGATAACAAAGAAATGGCGTGTTAATCCAATAGGATTAAAGAAGATTAGATTTACACACAGGTCAGGTCTGTTGATCTTTTAAAATCAGCACGAGCAGAGCATTAAAAGAATACATAGTTGTTGTCCGTTTGCATCAGACTTTCATTTTTTTTTTTCACTTTCCATATGAGATCAGTGCATTTGTTCAACTGCTGAAATGCATTTTTAAAAAGCTAGTACAATACGTTAAATTGTTGAAGGGTAATTTAAACCGTTTTCTTAGATTTGGTTCCATAACGTTACAATGAAGAATTCATAAATAGCATAGCAACATTTTCTTGTTTATTGTAAGACCCTTTAAAAAGGACACTTGACAATAAAATAAAAAAAAAAATTTAACATTTTAAAATAAATAAAAATAAAATATTAAAAAAGAATACAATTCTCAAAAAAGTTTAAATAGAAAATAAAATATAGGTTTTGTTCATAAAAAATAAAACTTGTAGCAGCCATGGACTGCTCTATTCCTAATAGTCATAATTTAGAAAAATCACTAATATTATAGCCTACATATTAGCCTGTTTAGCACAAGTACTTTTAAAAAAAAATGTAATTCAGTAGTTCTTTAGTAAAGCATTTCTTCTAGTGCAGATGTGTTTATTTCAATCTTTCAACTGAAATTGATGAAATTCTTCTGCTACAATGAATGCCTGCTGAACATAAATAATCTCATTTAAATTGTTACAAAATCATCAACACTTTCTTATATCTGAATGA